AAAAAAATCTTGTAAACATTTTCTATTTCACTCTCATATCGTATTTGAATTTACTTAGGCTCCTATAGCAGGGCATCAGAGTTTCCAATCTTTCTTTCTTCCATTTTATCTCCCTAGCCATTGGTAGTAAACATACACTTATGACTTATTGTATACATATATAGGTAGGACAATGGGAAAATGGTTTGGATTTAATGTTTGAAAAAATCCAATTTCAGGAACATTAATTAATGAATCCTTAGACGGGAGAAAACAAGTTGTGAATTCATATTACCATATAAATGTGGATTGGTCAAGAAAATATTTGTTAATACGAAGGACTATCTCCTCAAGACCCAACAAAGGAAATCAAGATTCAGATGGAGGTCATTTTATGATACTGATTATTCAAAACAAGGACCACCCCCCTGCCTGCTAGTTAATTATTATTTTTAATTTTTAGTAGAATTAATTTGAAATTTTGATTTTTAAAACCTAAATTTTAAATAAAAATTTAATAATTTATATGAATAAGAATTTAAAAGGTTTTTTTCCACTATATAAAGTTCTTGTCAAATATTCTTCTTGATAAAAAAATAAATCTCAATTATCATTTATATAGTATATCAAATTTTCATTTGAAATTCATATCTAAAAAGTAAAATTAAATCCATTAAAAATGAATGAAAGGAACACTACGTAACTAAAAATGATTGGAGAAAGTGATTTATACAATATATGTAGTCAATTTTTCATTAGGCTAAGATAATGAACGTAAATATATATATAAATAGAGATTCATTTATACATAAATTTTATACATCATACTTATACAAAAATTTGATCATTTATCTCTACACTTTTAATAGTTGATATTTATTTATATTTATTAATGACAATTATTATTTTTATCGAAAAAATTAAGATAAATTTTAACTATTAAAAGTAAATAGATAATTAATTAAAATTTTTATGTAAATAGGTGCCTTATATATATAATATGTATATATATATAAGTGGGACGCAAAATTTCCAACTTAAATACGAAAATATGACCCGTTGTCGGGAGAAAAATCCTATACATCACCACTTCTTTGTTCATTCATACTTCAATTTAGAAATATATTAATTACATTAGACCACACAAATATTAATTCCATATTC